CTACTACTACTACTACTACGACTACTACTACTAATACTACTACTACTACTATTACTACTACTACTATACTGCTACTACTACTACTACTACTACTACTACTACTACTACTACTACTACTACTACTACTACTACTACTACTACTACTACGCCTACTCCTACTTCCACTCCAACTCCTACTCCTACTCCTACTCCTACTCCTCCTACTACTACTACTACTACTACTACTACTACTGTGTATCTTCTACTGTTTCCCGGCATCACGACTACTTTTCGCGTTATGGTTCGCGACGTTACGCTCACCAGGTTTCACCATTTCATGATTTGTCTGGTTATTTTACTTAGTGTGATGAAGATTCGTATGCATACTTTTGATATTATGAACAATTCGCCACCGTATCTTCGGCACGCCCAAAAGACCCTAAGAGGCATCCCTGGAGACTCTGACCCACAAACCACGCACGGTGGCGGGGCCAAAGGCCATGAGATTTATTACTGCTATACATAACACGATGCGCAGCATTATCATTCGTAATATTATTAATGTATGGCGTGCGCCCCTGAGCTGCCCGTTCCTGGTATCCGAAAGATCGAGGCGATGCGGCATGCTCACTGCGGTCTCTGATAAGACAACTTCGGCCCCAGATGCGGATCGGGGGAAACCAAAATGGACCGATACCGCGACGCCCTAGAACTCTCCCCAGGTGCGTTCTGACCAGAATTTCGATGCGAATCTACACGTGGCGAAGAGGGCCGCCCAGCTGGGCGTGAGTGGTCAGAGAAGCTCGTTCAGCGGACGCTCTCCTTCCCCTTCGGGGAGGGTTTCCCCTCCCCCCACCCCCTCCCCATGGCTCTGGAGGGGCCGTTTCGCGAGGGGGGGGGTCCAAGATGGCGTCACGAAGAGAACCAAAGATGGCCTCCAATATTCCCAAGAACCTTGAAGTCCGCCATAGGACGCATCCAAGTGCCTCCCAGCCTCCCAAAGCCCCCGAGAAGCAAAATCCCGCTCAAAACCTAAAAGGAAATCAATGAGTTGTGTTTTCTCGCTAGATCGCTGCTGATGGGTGCTTGAGGCCTTGGACTTGGACTTGGACTTGGATTACGGCTCGAAGTGTATCCAGGCTAGCCGGCAACCACACTATATTACACAACACACCTACCCACCAGCTCTCTTACAAATGTCGAGCATTCAGCCTGCGCGGCTGCCTCGGACCAGAACGAACCAATCCATGTGTTGTGGAAAGTGCCCCCCTGGCCACAGGGCGCGCTTCCCTTCTGTCAGATAAGATCTCCACGACCCGCGCCGACGCAGCGCATGTGCTTGAGGCCTCCAGATGGTTCCAACACGACCAAAGAGGGCCCCAGGAAGGGCCCAAGAGGAGCTCACGAGGGGCCCAAGACGGCCCCAACAGTGCCCAAGACCGCCCCAAGAGCGCCCCAAGAGGACCCCATGTGGCTATCTGGAGGGCTCCGACGGGGGGGGGCGCAATTGCCCAGGACCCCCCCCCCTTTGATGGGTAGCTTCCAAGAGATGGCTCCAAGAGGGCTCCCAAAAGTCTAACAAGAGAGGCCCAAGAGACCCCCAAGAAGGCCTCAAGCGGGGCCCATGAAGACCCCCAGAGCGTTCCAAGAGCGCGACAAATGCGTCCACAGTGGCCCCAAGATGACTCCAAGAGACTCCCTTCCAGAGCGTGACTGCCTGCAACAACACATCCCTAATCAGAGCAACTCACCTGGTGATTGTTTTTGGATGGGCTGGTGGGAATACTTTTTTGATCGCGAGCGAACCGGAGGCCGCCGGACGCCGTCAAAGGTCGCAGCAAGCAAGCCACGAGCTCATTGGGCCGAGGGGAGGGAGGGGAGGCGACGAGAGGACAGCGGGGGGAGGAACAACTGGCGGGGATACTTTTTTGATCGCGACCGCGGCGAGACAGGTCGGGCGGCGTAAAGGAGCGAAGCGCAAATACATCGGCCTAAATTAGCGCACAGGAGGAGGGGGGCGAACAGAGAAAGCGGACGAACGCGGAAGAGAAAAGACCAAGCGGGGGGGGCAAACAGGAGGCGAGCCTCGCTGTCGCTCAGAAGACGGCGCACACCTGGAAGAGCTTCCGGGCGAAGTGCAGCACCAGGACGGTGCAATTCAAGGGCAGCTCCGCATCGACGGCTAGACGAGCAGCGAGTCCACGACAAGCCGTCGGACCACGGAACGTAAGACAGCGAGATCACCACTGCGAGGGAGATCCCCACCTGCAAGCGCTCAACAGACCTAATCCGAAGCGCCAGACACCGGGAAGGTGCCACGGGTGCCATCAGACGGGGACCGGCGCCCGCGCCGCCACGGTGGCGTGAAAGTGCGGAGGGCAGACAGACAGGCGACTGGAAGGGGGAGAGCCGAAAGGGCGGGCGCGAGCAGCACGCGCCGCCCAGGTGGCAGGAGGGCCCAGCTGAAGACTGTATTGGATGAGCAGCGCGGTGGGGGAGGACCAGGTGTCCGTCGACCCCGTGCGGGGAGGGGAGGCAGGCGGCAGGCGGGACGCGATGTGCGGACCGCCAGGACGGCCGGGGAGACCCCCACAGATGGGGACGCCTGCAGACCAGCGCCCTGGGCCGAGGGGTTTCCCTGCGGCCTCGCGCGCGGGGTCAGGGGGAGCGGAGAAAGCGCGAAGGCGACTAACGGTCGCAGGTCTGGTAGAGAGAACGCGCGGTACGAGGTACCGGTGGCGACGAGGAGCGATAGCCGACAGCTGGCAGGGGCGGGAACAGTCGGAGAACCGCCGGGGGTAGTACCCCCCGGGGGAAGCCAAGAGACCAGCGCGTCGGGCCGAGGGGGTTTCCCTGCGGCCTCGCACGCTGGGGCAGGGCAACGGTGAGGGGGCCGCAAAAGGCAGACGGGGACCCGGGGGAGGGGCCCACAGCCGCTAAACGGCAAAGGACAGGCCCAAGCAACGCCTAGAGCGGAGCAGGGCGGCCGGGCAGGCGCCGCGGGCACAGACGCAGCGGTGCCACTCCTCGGGCGCCCCGGCGGTCTCGCGGCAGGAGACAGCGGGGGGAGGGCCGGGGGACCCCAGCGCGGTCGCCTAAGGCGGGTGCAAAGGGGGCGACCCGGCGCCAGGGGGCGTAGGGCCACAAGAAATCCAGGGCAAAGGCGACCTGGGGGGCCGGGGGCGGGCAACTGGTGGGCTTTTTTTCGCCGCAGCCGCAAGGCAAGGCGCAGGCGGCGTCAGAGGTCAACCCGGGCTACTGGCGGAGCCTAATTACCCAGCGAGCACACTCACGGCTGCCGAGGCTGCCGCCGAGGGAGGCTGAGGGGCGCCGGGGGCTGAGGGCTGCCTTCGAAAGCTGCCAGGGGAGCCAGGCGGCCAACGTGCGGGCATCCCGCAGGCGAGACCACCGGGAAGAGGACGAATTGAACCTTGTCGCACCAGGCGCCTGAGGTAGACGCGCCACCGAACGTGGCGAAACGCGGGACTGCGCAAGCAGTCCAGCGTGCTAGGCTGCAGACCAACAGGGACGAACACACATGGCTGACCAGAAGGCTGAACCACTCCTGAGCAATCGAGTGGGGGTGCGTCTCACCATGCCGGCGGCAGCTGCAGACACGGCCAGGCTGTGGCGATGTCTGGAAACCAAAGGCCAGAGAAGCGCAAGCACTCTAGCCCGAGCTGGTCGACGTGCAAGACACCTGGCCGCCAGGGTCCCCGAACGGATGCGGCCCTCGACCACTCCCGCCGGTAGCGTCGGCGGGAGAGGGACAAAAACCAAGAGGTACCAAGAGAGATGAGGTGTGAGGGACATATATATATATATGTATATATATACATACATACATACATACATACATACATACATACATACATACATACATACATACATACATACATACATACATACATACATACATATATAGAGAGAGAAGAAGAGAAAATAACAAACAAACAAAAAACAACAAAACAAAAAACAAACAAAAAAAAAAAAAAAAAAGAAAAAAAAAACGATCGCGAAGATTATGAGGATGGTAAGCACCGGAGGGGGGAGAGAGGCGAAGCTGTCCCTCCCTTTCCTTCCCCTTATACATAACTCATCCCTGTCGCACCCTGAGGGGCAGGCCGGGTGTTTCGCCTGAGACATCCTTACCACTCATGCTCCTGAAGCTTAAAAGTCGTAAACGGCTTCACAGATGGAGGGCGGGTCGCTTCCAACATGTGGCTCTCGCCGTAGCGCCGCGCACACTCGTGTCAAACAATTGCATGAGTTTTGCGGATTGAGGGCGGGTGGTTTGCAAAATGTGGCTCTCGCCGGTGCGCCGCGAACACTCGTCTTAACAATTCGCAGGAGCGTCACGGAGTGAGGGTGCTTGATTTTCAAAATGTGGTTCACGCAGTAGCTCCGCGTAAACTCGTTATCAACAGTTGCAAGAGTTTCATGGCTCCTCATGGCTAACATACATGAAAGGGTATTTGAAAAAGGCGTCAGGACTCTCAGAGCGCAACGGTTACGTTGACTCGCGATGTTGAAGTCTCAGCAATCGAGTTCTAGCACGTCTCAAGATCGTCAAGACGCAACAGTCAGGTTGATTCGCGGCGTTGAAGTCCCGAGAATGGTGCTTTGGCACGTCAGGATGTTCCAACGGTTGTCTCCCAACGGCGCACTCCTCTGTGCAAATCCTTGTGGGGGCCTGCGAAGAGGGAGCTTGAAGGAAGGGTTTATTCCAATATCGGTTGTGAGCCTTTGGTTTGCAGTGGTCCTCGTCATCTTCTCCTTCCCATGTATAATGAGGTGTTCACCAATGCAACGTCACTTGGAATCTGAGACATGAGATATACAAGCTCTGGACGTACCACCGCGATCGAACTCGTCTTCCGGAGGCCCACAGGAGCCACACGGGAGCCCATGGGAGCAGCAGAGATGATAATAGATAGCCCTCTCGTCATCCTCCTCATCCTCCTCCTCAACCCTCAACCCTCAACCCTCAACCCTCCTCCTCCTCCTCCTCCTCCTCCTCC